AAAAGAAAAAAGGAGAGCAGGCAGTCTAGCTTTTAAGATTCTTGCACTCCACATCACACTGACCTTGGTTCAATTCCTGGCTTTGACTTCTGACTCCAGAGTCCTACCAATGCAGACCTGGAGAGGCAGTGGAGATGGTGGGCTCATGTCACTCATATGGGAAGACCTGGATTTTGTTCTCAGCTCCCCAGCTCTGGCCCTGGCCCAGCACCAGCCAATGAGGCAGTTTGGTGAGTAAATCAGTAATGAGAACTCTTCCTCTCTGTCATCTGTCTCTCTGAGTTGCAAATATAAATTTTTGAAGGAAAAAATTAAATCAAGTGAGCACACTGTTTTGAAGGAGGAGGATACCCTCCTGTGAGACTTTATCCCACACGGCTGCCTCTGAGTACACTGAAACAAAGTACCCTGAGGTGTTGGCACAGCTCAAAAGCAGCAGGAACACAGGTTGCAAGTGTTTAGCCCCCACTCTCTCCTAGAGCCTGGTGGCCCTGTGCAGTAAACAACCTGCCCCACTCTTCAGATTTGATAGCTTATCTTATTCATCTGCAACTGACAATTTTTCTCTACAACAGAATAAATGGGTTAATATTAAAATATAGTGGGGCTGGCACCATGGCCTAGCAGGTTAAAGTCCCAGCCTGCAGTGCTGTCATCCCATATGGATGCCTGTTCGAGTCCTGGCTGCTCCACTTCCAATCCAGCTCTCTGCTATGGCCTGGAAAAGCAGTAGAAGATGGTCCAAGTCCTTGGGCCCCTGCAGCTGCATGGGAGACCCAGAAGCTGCTCCTGGCTCCTGGCTTCGGATCTGCACAGCTCTGGCCGTTGCAGCCATCTGGGGAGTGAACAAGCAGATAGAAGACCTCTCTCTCTGCCTCTCTGTAACTCTGCCTTTTCAAATAAATAAATAAAATCTTTAAAAAAATTAAAATGTATCTGAAAATTGTCCATGTGTTGGTCAGTTCCTAGACATATGTGCCAGTGTTGCCCAGTCTGTATGAATTAAGATGCTTGCTATAAGCAAAGCCTTGCACTGGATAGAGAAAAGCATAAAATACTTGCCCCAAACCCACAATCTCTCAGGGCCAGAAGGGCCCTGCCTACCTATGTGCGTCAGGGATTATGCTGCTTTCATTTTTGTTGCCTCAGTTCATCTTCATATCAGTTCTGGAAAGAAGGCTTCCTTTCTTCTCATTTTACAGATGAGGAAGCACAGAGAAGCTAACTTGTCCCAAACACAGCTAGGACGTGACAAAGCTCGGAATTTACCTTAGGTCTGACTCCAAAGTCCAGGCTCCCTCCACATCACCATATTTCATAAGTCACAAAAATATGAACACAGCAGATTTCACTTACTCAACACTCCTGGGGATGAGTCATGCTGGCCGGATGAGTAAGTGAAAGGCCATCCTCCAGGAAACACTGTTCAAAACCCTCCAAGGCTATAGCAAAGAAGACTCTGGAAGCTTTTGGAAAGTCTTTTCCTTAAGTTTATTTTTTTAAGATTTATTTATTTATTTGAAAGTCAGAGCCACACATAGAGAGGAAAGGCAGAGAGAGTGAGAGCGAGAGAGTGAGTGAGAGCGAGAGAGAGAGTGAGAGCGAGAGAGAGGTCTTCCATCTGCTGGTTCACTCCCCATATGATCGTAAAGGCTGGAGCTGTGCTGATCTGAAGCCAGGAGCCAGGAGCCTCCTCTGGGTCTCCCACATGGGTACAAGGGCCCAAGGACCTGGGCCATCCTTTACTGCTGGATCAGAAGTAGAGCAGCTGGGTCTCAAACCGGCGCCCAGGAGGGATGCCAGCAATGCAGGCCAGGGAGTTAACCCACTGCACCACAGCGCTGGCCTCTGCTTTAGTTTCTTCTCTCCTGGGTTTCTGGGATTAGAAACCCAGCCCACCTAGCCTACCAGATGACCTGTTCCCCGTGCATGTTCCAGAAAAGGATGCCCAAAGATTCCTCTCCCAGTTCCAAACATCAGAGAGATAGGCTAGTAATTTGGAAATAATTTCAATACACAGAAAAGAACAAAACAAGAAACACTTCAAGAAAACATAACCCAGTTTTCAGCTGGTGTTGTGGCATCATGGGCAAAGCCACCATTAACTGAAATGCCCATATGGGTGCCGGTTAGTGTTCCAGCTGCTCCACTTTAAATCTGGCTCCCAGCTAATGGCTTGGAAAAAGCAGCAGAAGATGGCCCAAGTGTTTGCATCTCCATTACCCACATGGGAGAACAGGACGAAGCTCTTGGCTTCAGCTTGGCCCTTGCAGCCATTTGGGGAGTAAACCAGTGGATGGAAGATATCTTTGTCTCTGTCTCTTCCTCTCTCTCTTTTAAATAAATAAATCTTAAAAAAATATTTTTTTTTTCAAAGCACAGCTTCCCAGAATGAGATTGAACACCCAGTCAACTCTATATCTTAAAACACTGCCCTGAGAGGTATGGCCTTGCAGGCCTGTTTCCCATCTCACTGGTCAGCATTTTGCTATCTATCTCCTGGTCAGACAGCTTTCAATATTTATCTTGTCCTTAGTCCTAGAAATAGGTCATTGATTCATTGATTCATTCTCCTCCTTCCATATGCAAGCTCCCTGGATTTTAGTTTCCTTATCTGTGTAAAAACAGAGTAACCAAAACAACTAACTTGTAATGATCAAACCATGAGCAAACCATATAGGTATATAACAGAGTTAAGTGCTCAGAAGTGAATTTTTGGGGCCGGAGCTGTGGCACAGTGGATAAAGCCTGTGCGTATGGTGCCAGCATCCCATTTAAGCACTGGTTCGAGTCCTGGCTGCTCCACTTCTGATCCAGATCTCAGGTATGGCCTAGGAAAGCAGAAGATGGCCTAAGTGAGACCCAGAAGAAGCTCCTGGTTCCTGGCTTCTGATTGGCCCAGCTCCAGCCGTTGTGATCATTCGCTGGAAGCGAACCAGCAGATGGAAGACTGCTCTCTCTGCCTCTCTGTAACTCTGCCTTTCTAATAAATTAATAAATCTTAAAAAAGTGATTTTTCTGTTCTTCCCCCTTCTCTATACACAAACACAGTAACAATTCTAGCTAATGGTTGAGTACTTACTATGTCCCAGGCGCTGTACTCTACACTATGCTATGTGTTAACAGATTTAATCCTCATCACAACCTAAGTAGAACAATGGTCATCTTCATCATAAAGATGAAGATACTGAAGCACAGTGAGGGCGAACAAGTCACCCAAGTTCAAAACAGCTGGTAAACAGCAGAGCTGAGATTTCAGCCTAGACAGTTTGGCTCCAGAGCCAGTGTCTGTAATCACCACACACAACCGACCTTTGTGCTGAAAGCCAACCACCCACACCTGCATTCCTCCATCCCCACCAGGGGCCTGCAAGCCAACACTAGAGCAAGAAGAGATAGAACCAAAGAACATAAAAAAGAGTGCACCAATGTGTCCTGTCATACACAATGATAACACTGATGATCAAAGATTCAGCTACTTGATAATCTTCAGTACGGTTTGAATTCTTACGGCATGCATGGAATACTTCCCAAATTAATAAAAATTATAATGTAAAGGTAGATTCATCTTGAGAGAAAAAAATACTAATTTTAGAAAGAAAGTAGGGATTGCATCTAGGAGGGAGTTTTTGTTTATTTTAATGTCAGTTAAATTGCATTAAAACAACTTACCAGTAAGTGGTATTTTTCATATCATTAGGACAGTGGTTAAGAAACAGGCATGGGGGCTGGCCCTGTGGTGCACGGGGTTAACGCCCGGGCCTGAAGCGCCAGCATCCCATATGGGCGCCAGTTCGAGAACTGGCTGCTCCACTTCGGATCCAGCTCTCTGCTGTGGCCTGGGAAAGCAGAAGATGGCCCAAGTCCTTGGGCCCCTGCACCCGCGTGGGAGACCTGGAAGAAGCTCCTGGTTCCTGATCCACACAGCTCTGGCCGTTGCGGCCATTTGGGGAGTAAACAATCAGATAGAAGACCTCTCTCTCTCTCTCTCTGCCTCTTCTCTCTCTGTGTAACTCTTTCAAATAAATAATTTAAAAAATAATAATAATAAAAGAAACAGGCATGGGCCAGCACTGTGGCATAGTGGGTAAAGCCAAGGCCTGCAGTGCTGGCATCCCATATAGGTGTGGGTTTGAGGCCTGGCTGCTCCACCTCTGATCCAGTTTCCTGCTACTGTGCCTGGGAAAGTAGCGGAAGATGGTCCAAGTCCTTGGGCCCCTGTTAACCACGTGGGAGATCCAGAAGAAGCTCCTGGCTCCTGGCTTCAGATCAGCCCAGCTCCAGCTGTTGCAGCCATTTGGGGAGTAAACTAACAGATCTCTCTCTCTGCCTCTGCCTCTCTGTAACTCTGCCTTTCAGTAAATACATACTTAAAAAAAAAAAACAAAACACAGATATGTGTTGAATTCCAGAACTTCTTTACTAGCTGTTCAAACATACCTCACTTCTCTGATTGCCTTCTTGCCTATAAATGGGAATAATACCTGTCACTTAGGGGCATTGTTAGGATTAATTAAGACAGAATAACTAAGGTGTTTGGGTCAATGATAAATTTCAAGTACTCAATATTTTCCTTTCTACAATTTCACTTTAATGACTGAAGAATACTCAAGGATCATTTTCAATGTTATCAATAATACAAGCCACAGTAAAATTTCCCCATATATTTCTATTTATTTCTTTAGAGTTAAATCCTACAAATGATCTCCTGGAGCAAAGGACACGAACATTCGAAACTTTTGATGCACATTATCAACTTATATAGCAATATAATAGTTCCATTGAGTTAAATGTTCCCTGTATTCTATTAAAGAGATATATTCAACTCTTGCCAAGACTGGACATTACTTTAATAATCTGTACTAATTTTATAGGCTAAAGAGGGGCGAGACCATGTTATTATTTATTTTACATAATAGCCATTTCAGTTTCTTCTTTTTATATAAAGCTCATAGGCTTCTTAATTAAAGTATGAGAACAGCGCAGAAATAGGAAACAAATTGAAAATGGGTAAAGTTTTTAATGAATATATTACAGAGGTGGTATTTCAAGTTTCATGAGAAGATGAATTTTCCCCTGGTTGGGATGGTTAATTCTCCACACTTCGACTACACTTATCTGTTTTACATATTGAATTTATTGATCAGCTTTGATCTGAAGGATTCTGTACCTGAAAACAAAATAAAAACACATTCAATGCAAGGCTTTGGGACAACTGGTATTTTGCAATAAATAGAATAAGTTGAATTTATCCTTTATAGTATATACAAAAATACGTTTCCTTTGGTATAAAACATTAAATGGGAAAAGCTCACTTAAATTACAAGAAAATACAGGCAGATATTAACTGATGTTGGAGAGGAAGAGGACTTTTTTTTTTTTTTTTTGAGGTAGAAAGAAACATCACTCTTCCATTCACTGGTTCACTCCAAAATGAATCAGGGCTGGGCTGGCACTGAAGCTGGGAGCCAATAGCCAGGAACTTAACCTAGGTCTCCCATGTGTGTGGCTGGAACCAAATCACTTGAACCATCATGCAGGCTTCCAGGGTCTGTACCAGTAGGAAGCGGGAGTCTGGAGCTGGAGCAGGGAATCAAACCCAGGTACTCCAATGGGCGATGCAAGCATTTTTACTGGCAATTTAGCCGCTAAGCTAAATGCCTACCCTTGAAGAAGACCTTTTCAAGAACAATGATGGGGCTGGTGCTGTGGCGCAGTGGGTTAACGCCCTGGCCTGAAGTGCTGGCATCCCATATGGGCGCCGGTTCGAGACTTGGCTGCTCCACTTCTGTTCCAGCTCTCTGCTATGGCCTGGGAAAGCAGTGGAAGATGGCCCAAGTCCTTGGGCCCCTGCACCCATGTGGGAGACCTGTTAGAAGATCCTGGCTCCTGGCTTCGGATCAGCGCAGCTCCGACCACTGCGGCCAATTGGGGAGTGAACCATCGGATAGAAGACCTCTCTCTCTATGCCTCTCCTCTCTCTGTGTAACTCTGACTCTCAAATAAATAAATAAATCTTGAAAAAAAAAAAAGTACAATGACAAATGCAGAAACTATAACAAGAGGCACTATTTGTATTGGTTTTTCATGAAGTGTGCACCTGTGATCCACGTTCAAAAATGCTCTCATAGCCAAAGTGTGAGGGTGCTGCATAACAGTGCCAAAAGGTGGCTCAAATGCACTAACTCTCCTATTATCTCTGTCAGCATCTTCACATCACCAAAATACACATTCTGAAGCAAATGATGTGCAAAACAAGCAAATGTAACTGGAGGACATATCCTAGTCCTAGGCTCCAAGCCCTCTTGACTTAAGCCCTTTCTCTCCTTAGACATTCTGGAGCCATTAATGCTGTTTCCCAGAAAGTCACAATGTCATTAGTGTAGAAAGGCTCTGAGAAACCCTACAGTAGAAAATGAACAGAACTAATTTACTGCATATTTGGCTACAGCACTCTTCCCTCTGCTTAATATTAATATCCAGAGAATTTGTGGCATACATCCTGCTAAATTCCAGGCTGTGTGGAATTAAAATTTGAACAGGAAAATGCTGTGTGGGATGTGTCTTTGTAAAGAATGTACTATTGGGGCTGGCACTGTGTTTCAGCAGGTTAAAACATGACCTGCAGTGCCAGCATCGCATATGGCCATTGGTTCAGGTACTGGCTAATCCACTTCTGATCCAGCTCCCTGCTAAGGCACCTGAGACAGCAGCAGAAGATGGCCCAAGTCCTTGGGCCCCTGCACACAAGAGGGAGACTCGGAGGAAGCTCCTAACTCCTGGCTTCAACCTGGCCCATCCCCGGTCATTGTGATCATTTGGGGAATGAACTAGCGGATGCAAGATCTCTCTCTCTGTCTTTCCTTCTCTAACTCTGCCTCTCAAATAAATAAATAAATCTTTAAAAAAAAATGTACTATTGGCCGGCGCCGCGGCTCACTAGGCTAATCCTCCACCTTGCGGCGCAGGCACACCGGGTTCTAGTCCCGGTCGGGGCGCCGGATTCTGTCCCGGTTGCCCCTCTTCTCTGCTGTGGCCAGGGAGTGCAGTGGAGGATGGCCCAAGTGCTTAGGCCCTGCACCCCATGGGAGACCAGGAGAAGCACCTGGCTCCTGGCTTCGGATCAGCGCGGTGTGCCGGCCGCGGCGGCCATTGGAGGGTGAACCAATGGCAAAGGAAGATCTTTCTCTCTCTCTCTCTCTCTCTCTCTCTCTCTCACTGTCCACTCTGCCTGTCAAAAAAAAAAAAAAAATGTCCTATTGTCCATGTATTGCTATTTCACCAGGGCTTAATCTGAGCTACTCTCCAGTGTGGTCTGCTGACACCTAGTGCTGAAGAACTTACACACTAAACTGCTGCCCTCCGAAATGAAAATCCACGGTGTGCAGACTGCCTTGGATTTAAAGCCTTTTTCATCATCATCATGGTGAACTTACATCTTAGAATCATCTTAGAATACGAAATGGCTTATGTAAATGATCCCCAGGCTTGGACTTTTGCTCTTCTCTCACCTATTAAAACATGTCTTATGCAACTATCCAGTCAGGTACTTCTTGTTTTGCTTTTCATCTCATATGCAGGAAAGGAACTGAATCAGACTGTTTAGAGGACAGAGCTAAATGGTTCAAGAGAAGGCTCAGGCTCTTCTACAGAAACTTGATTGTTACTAGAATGAAGATACAAGCATTGCATTCAAGTAGATGCTTAAATATTATTTTCTTTAACCCCAGAAGCATCAGTTTCTAAATAAAGGGGAAAGAGAGGAGGAAGAGGCAAACATAATACCACTGCAGTGAAAAGCATTCTGCTGTAATGACATTGGAGATTTGGTCTCACCATTTCAAATTAATGCTAATTTAAATTGCAAAATGTTAGGTTTATATGCATTAAGATTCAACATCTAATCTAATTTATATTAAACGTGTCTATGTTAATAATGTCAATGCAAAATAATATCTGTACAAATAATAATAATAACTTCTATGGCTTTTGCTACTAGTTCCAGAAAATCAGATATCATATTTTAATTTTAATTTTTAAAATTTTTATTTATTTGAAAGGCAGAGAGACAGAGACAGGTTTTCCATTTGCTGGTTCATTCTCCAAATGCTTACTACTGGGCCAGGCCAAAGTCAGGGGTAGAAAACTCAATCCAGGTCTCATACATTGGTGGCAAGACCCAATTACTTGAACCATCACCTGTTACCTCCCAGGATGAGTATAACCAGGATGCTGGAATTGGAAGTGCAGCCAGAGCTCAAACCCATGCACTCCAATCTGGGACGTGAGCATTCCAAGTGGCATCTAAACCACCGTGCTGAATGCCTAACCCAAATCTCATATTTTAACAAAAGTTCGGGAGTTCCAAAATCCAGGCATTCCAATTTTATTTGAGTTCTACTTAAGAACTTTGTAGGTTCTAGTTCTGGTTGGGGCGCCGGGTACTAGTCCCAGTTGCTTCTCTTCCAGTCCAGGTCTCTGCTGTAGCCCGGGAAGGCAGCAGAGGATGGCCCAAGTGCTTGGGTCCCTGCACCTGTATGGGAGACTAGGAGGAAGCACCCGGCTCCTGCCTTCGGATCGGCGCAGTGCCAGCTGTAGCGGCCATTAGGGGAGTGAACCAATGGAAGGAAGACATTTCTCTCTGTCTCTCTCACTGTCTATAACTCTACCTGTCAAACAAACAAACAAACAACTTTGTAAAACTGTCTCATTCACTTTAAAATAAGGTTAGTATTTTTGAGTATTGGGAACCAAAATACCCCATTGTGTACTTACTATTCCACTGACAGTGACTAGTTTTTTCAAACATAAATATACACATATATGTGTGGGTATGTTTGCAGTATTGACAGTTTACAGTATGGATTCTTTTGAGTTTGCCATGTCTAGGCTACTCTGTAAAATGCTATGACTCAACTCTTGGACCTCTTTTCTCTATCAAAATGATCATGCAACTTTTCTCTATAGTTTTTGTCATGATGTTCTTTAAAGCCTTTACCCTGTACAAACATAATCCGAAAGTCCATGCGAACTCAGGCACTCATGTTTTATGAAGCTCATCTGGAAGTCATAATATTTATTACTTTAGCATCAAATAACACAAAATCTTTAAAATTCCTGTAGCAGAGAATTAGTGGCTTCTGCTGGAACATTTGCTTGGCTCTCAGGCTGAAACAAACTACCACAAATGGTAGCCATTCATTCATTCAACAATATTTATTGAGGCTACTATGTGCCTGGCACAGGGAACCCAACAATCAACAAACTGCTAGCCGTATGAACAGCCTTACTTACAGACTAGTGGGAAAACAGGACAATGGACAAGTAACTATATAATTTCCAATAATGAATTGTGGTGTAATGAAAACGAATGGGATAAGGGAAGGGAGAAAGAGATGGAGGTGCTCTTTTGGAGAGGCTTGTTAAGAAACATATTTGGAGCGGAGATGTGAGCAGACACCTACGTGAATTCTCTGGGAAGTTTTTCAGGCAGAAGACTGGGTGCAAAGGTTCTGAGGCAGGAATGGCCTTGGAGTGTTTGAAGACTCACAAGCAGGCCAGGGTGGCTGAAGCACACAAATTAGGCAAATGATATCAAAGCTTCCAGAGGCCAGGCACACAGGGTCCCGTATATTGACTGTTGGGCCTTAAAAAATAAATGAATATTTCAAGAGGCATGCTTTAGAGAATGGAGGTGGAACTCTAAACTCAACTTTTTTAAAAAAAAATTTTACTTTTAAAAATCAACTTTGTTGAAGCATAATTTACAAACAACAAAACACACCTACAGCCAGCACTGTAGAAGTAATTTAAGTCACTGCCTGCAATGCTAGTACCCCATATGGAAGCCGGCTCAAGTTCCAGCTGCTCTACTTCAGATCCAGCTCCCTGCTAATGTCCTGGGAAAGCACAGAAGATGGCCCAAGTGTCACCTACATGAGAGAATGAGATGGAGTTCCTGGTTCCTGATTTCAGCCTGGCCCCGCCCCAGCCAAGGTAGCCATTTGGAGAGTGAACTAGTGATGGAAGATCTCTGTCTCTTCTCCTCTCTGTAACTCTGCCTTTCAAACTGAATAGTAAATCTTTAAAAACAACAACAACAACAACAACAAAAACCCCACACATCTTAACAATAGTCTGAGGAGTTTGGGCAAATGTAGAAATCCATGTCACTATCACCATATTCAAGGTAAAGAGAATTTCCAATATCCCCCAAAATTCTCTTGTGCCCTGTGCAGTTACTCCCCATCATGCAACCCACAACAGAGTCAGGGACTCAACTTGGATTTTGAGATTCACCAGCTTTTTGTTTGTTTGTTTGTTTTTTTGTTTTTTAATTTTATTTGAAAGAGTGAGAGAGAGGGGAGGAGAGAGAGCACCCATATGGGTGCCAGTTTGTGTCCTGGCTGCTCTACTTCCGATCCAGTTCCCTGCTAATGTGCCTGGGAAAATAGTGGAGAATGGCCAAAGTGCTTGGGCCTCTGCACCCACATGGCAGACTGGGATGCAGCTCCTGGCCCAGCCCTGGAAGTTGTGATCATTTGGGGAGTGAACCAGCAGATGGAAGATTTCTTTTTCTCTTCCTTTCAATCTCCCTTTCTGTACCTCCACCTTTCAAGTAAATAAATCTTTAAAAAAAATTTATACAGCCGGCGCCGTGGCTCACATGGTTAATCCTCTGCCTGCGGTGCCGGCACCCTGGGTTCTAGTCCCGGTTGGGGTGTCGGATTCTGTCCTGGTTGCTCCTCTTCCAGGCCAGCTCTCTGCTGTGGCCCTGGAAGGCAGTGGAGGATGGCCCAAGTGCTTGGGTCCCTGCACCTGCATGGGAGACCGGGAGGAAGCACCCAGCTCCTGGCTTCGGGTCGGCGCAGCGCCAGCCATAGCGGCCATTAGGGGAGTGAACCAACGGAAGGAAGATCTTTCTCTTCGTCTCTCTCTCTCACTGTCTATAACTCTCTGTCTCTCTCTCTCACTAACTCTGCTTATCAAAAAAAAAAAAAATTTATACACCAACTATTGGATTTAACAGATGTTAACTTTTTCAATATATTGGCTTCAGAATTCCCTCTCTAAAAAATAAAGAAAAACCCCAGAGACTTAATGACTAAGATTTTGAGATTTAATTTTATATAAAACAAAATTGTGCCTTGTGAATTTTAAAGGAAATCACCATTTTCCTTAACGAAAACAGGAAATGCTGAATTGAGTAACTGAGGAAGAATTTCCATGTAGTAAACATTTCTGCTGTCACAGTGGGTGCTCCTCCCTCTTCAGCATCTTGCTCCAAGCATTGAGCAAAATTCTTCTCTAATGGGACTTTACTAATTACTTGGTGATTAAAGTAATAACCACAGATAATAGCATAAAGCTAGGGAATGTGGCTTATATGGCTTAGTTTTCAGGCTGCTGGGTTACTTCCATGTGGTAAAGGTCAAATTCCACAGGGTAACATGTCAGAAGTGCCCGAAGGAACTGTCTGCAGTGGTGAAATATTCTCTGCCTGCGCTGGCCAGGGGAACAGCCACCAGCCGCACATGGCTAGTACGCACTCACAATATGCCTCCTGCAGCTGAAGTTTGTTATTTCATTTAGTTAAATTTAGCCACCGTGACAAGTGGCTACTGTATTGGATAGTACAAATCTAGACCTTTGAAGTCCACATTATAAAACAATCTTTAGGCTTGCATTGTGGTAAAGTGGGTTAAACTGCTTGCAACATTGGCATCCCATATAAGCTCAGGTTCAAGTCCAGGCTTCTCCATTTCTGATCCAGCTCCTTGCTAACGTGCCTGGAAAAGCAGCACATGGGTCCCTGCACCCACACTGGAGACCAGGAAGAAGCTCCTGGCTTCAGTTTGGCCCAGCCCTGGTCATTGTGGCTATTTGGGCGCTCTCTCTCCCTGCTCTTCTTTCTCTGCCTTTCAAATAAATAAATAAATCCTTAAAAAAAAAAAAGATACATGCTATATATGCATAGAAAAGAAGACGATGGGGCTGGCACTGTGGCACAGTGGGTTTAAGCCCTGGCCTGAAGTGCCAGCATCCCATATGGGCACCGGTTCTAGTCCTGGCTGCTCCTCCAGCTCTCTTCTATGGCCTAGGAAAGCAGTAGAAGATGGCCCAAGTGCTTGGCCCCAGCACCCGTGTGGGAGACCGCAAGAAGCTCCTGGCTCCTGACTTGGGATCAGCTCAGCTCCAGTGCTGCGGCCATCTGGGGAGTGAACAAGTGGTTGGAAGACCTCTCTCTCTCTACCTCTCTCTGTAACTCTGTCTTTCAAATAAATAAAATAAATATTAAAAAGAAAAGAAGATCTTCAGGAGGTGGGACAGAAGTGAGGGTGGGAGGGCGGATATGGGAGGAAGATCCACTATATTCCTAAAGCTGTACCTATGAAATTCGTATTCATTAAGTAAAAGCTTTCTTAAAAAAAAAAAATGATGACCTTAAATGGTGATGGTGCACAATAAAAAATATAACCAGTTAACAAACTGCAACCTCTAACTGATAACTGATGATTTAAATTTTCTTTTTAACTTATTTTCTAAGTATTCTACAAGTAGAATAGTAACAGGATTTTCCCAGAGTACTTTACAGTCTGGCAACCAGTAATTTACAGTGTGCTGCATGGAGTAGCAGTATTAGCAATCAAAGAACTTGCTAGAAATGTAAATTCTTAGGTTCTACTCCAGACATGTTCATTCTGGGGTACAGCCCAAGCATCTGGGGTACAACCGAAGCAGTCTGTGTTTTAGTAAGCCCTCTATTTTACTCTGATGCTTAAGTTTGAGAACTACTCTTTAATGACAAATACTGCTAATCTTTCTTCCCCAAATACTCTCTGCAATTCTTGTTCACAAAGTTTTTCTTTCACCCTTGAACATACTTCTCCAACAGCCTTTTGAGAATAGCTCCTTCTTTCTCCAGTTACTGCTTGATACAGAAAACAGAAGAGGTTCTGGGGCTGTGCCGGTAATTTGTCTCAAGGGGACTTGGGGTCAGACCTGAAAGAGTGAAGTACTGGCACTGACCAAAAGCACTATTAAAAAAAGTGAAGCCACTGGTGGCCCGGCAAAAACATACCAAAACCAAGTTCGGCCAATGGCCAACAGTTCATGCTCACTTCTTGATTCATTCTCTCAAATCAATAAGCAGGAAAACCTTGATTTGAAGTCCAACTCTGCTACTTGCTGGCTAGGTGTTGATAAAAATGATAACTTTTTGGAGTTAAATCTTAGCTGTATAAGGACAACAGTACTATCTCAAAGGAGTGCTTATTTTTACTTATTTTGAAAGAGCAGGTGAGAATAAGAGCTAAAGTGAGAGTGTAAGAGTCAGAGAGAGAGACAGACCATCCAGCCATCTACTGGTTCACTTCCCAAATACCCACATCAGCTGGGGCTGGGCAAGAAAGCCAAGAGTCCAGGACTCCATCTTGGTCTCCCAGGAGGGTAGTAGGGGCCCAAGTATGTGCCCCATCAGTGCTGCCTCTCAGGGTGTGCATTAGCAGGAAGCTGGAACAGGAGTGGAATGGGGACTAAAACCCAGGCACTCTAATATAGCATGTGAGTATCCCAAGCAACACGTTAACTGCTGTACCAAGCCTGAGTTCCACTTACAGGAGTGTCTGAAAGACCAAAGAGATATATTTAAAAACAGCTGCCCCATTATAAGCCCTCAATAAATGTTTCATAGTGTTTCAGTATCTGTTTACTGTGCATTTTGATTAATCATGTGCTTTATTTATGTACAATTTACTTTAGCCTTCTCTTCTGTTAAACGCTTAGCCCCACTGGGACAGAGCTGGCCTTCTGCATTCCTTAAATTCCTATTTCGGAATTCAGTCTCACCCATGCCCACCACAACTTTAACAAAAGCTTGAGACTGGAGGTCAGAATGTATGTGGTAGGGATCTGGAGCAAAACAGTCTACTCTTGGTATAGTCGTACATTTTATAAGAGCAAGTATGTATGAGCTGACTTGCATCAATCCCCAAATTATGATCTCTTTACTAATACAAAATATAAAAGATCAAGAACACTGATGCTTGTACAGTTGCTGAAAGTAAATGACTTTTGCTTTAATATTTACCATGTTTTTTTAAAGCAATACAGGAAGTCTAGAAGTTTCATACTGAAAATGATGAAAATAATGGGTTTCAGTTTTAACTGAATTTTGGCAGTTCAGATACTAGGGATGCTGGGATAGTGGAAGAGGTTTGTATCAGAACAGCAAACCATAGGTGCCCAGCTCATTTTCCCATCTGGAATACCAAGACAAGAACAAGATTATCTATTCCTCAAAGATCCTGAGAAATTTAATTAGGGAGCAGGCATTTGTGGTCCCGATGCCCATGTTCCACAACAGAATGCCTGCTTTGATTCTGAGCTCCAGCTCCCAACTCCAGCAGCCCACTAAGGCAGACCCTGGGAAGCAGCAGTGATGGCTCCATTAATTGGGTTCCTCCCTGTACATGGGACACCTGGATGGTGTTGAGCTCCTGGTTCCTGACTGGCTGACCCAGCCTCAGCCCTTGAGGTATGAACCAGCAGTGGAAGCCATCTCTCTTCGTCTCAAGTAAATAAAAAATAATACTAATAAAAAAGAAAGTTAATTAGGCAATTAGGTTAATCTTAAGTAGGTAATTAAGATCATAAAACGTAGTGGGGAGGAAAGAAGCACATGGATTTCAGTTAAGGGTTAGAGGATTTCTGTGCTCCCAGGGCTATATAAGAAACAGTGGGCCGGCGCCGCGGCTCACTAGACTAACCCTCCTCCTGCGGTGCTGGCACCCCGGGTTACAGTCCCAGTCAGGGCGCCGGATTCTGTCCCGGTTGCTCCTCTTCCAGGACAGCTCTCTGCTGTGGCCAGGGAGTGCAGTGGAGGATGGCCCAAGTCCTTGGGCCCTGCACCCCATGGGAGACCAGGAGAAGCACCTGGCTCCTGGCTTTGGATTGACCTTTCTCTCTGTCTCTCTCTCTCACTGTCTAACTCTGCCTCTCAAAAAAAAAAAAAAAAAAAAGACAGAAAGAAAACACTGTATAATACCATTGCCCTAAAAGAATTTTCAGGGGCTGGAACTGTGGCATAGCAGGTAAAGCCACCGCCTGCAGTGTCTCTGTCTCCACCTCTCTGTAACTGCCTTTCAAACAAATAAATAAAATCTTTTTTTTTTAAATTTATTCTCTTCTTACTTCGTAAGTTTCCATGCCTTCTAAGTACCAGTAAAGAATTAACTCACGGGGATGGTGTTGTGGTACAGCAGGTTAAGCCTCCGCTTGTGTCACTGGCATCCCATATGGGTGCCAGTACAAAAGCTGGCTCTTCCACTTCAGATCCAGCTCCCTGCTAATGTGCCTGGGAAAGCAGCAGAAGATGGTCTATGTCTTTGGCCCCTGCACCCATGTGGGAGACCCTGAAGAAGCTTCAGGCTTCAGTTTGGCCCAGCCCTGGCTCTTGAGGCCATTTAGAGAATAAACCAGCAGATGGAAGCTTGCTTGTTCTCTCTCTCTCATCCTCTCCCCTCCTCTTTTGTAACTCTGCCTTTCAAATAAATAAAAAAACTTTTAAAAAGATTAAAATAAAAAAGAATTCATATACTGAATGTGGCATTGTTAATACCACTGACCCTTTATTTATGTTCATTTTCTTTAAGAACTTTGTAACTACAAACTTGTTAAATAAATGACTTTCAAATTAAATGATCTAATTTACTTGTGCAACTGCTCAGGAACTTATCTACTTGCCCCCTTCCTGCAAACAATACTTCATACCTGCATATTTCTGTTTTTCCCTCAAAACCATAATTCATTTTTTTTCAAAGATTTATTTTTATTTATTTGAAAAACAGAGTTACAGAGAGAGAGAGAGGTCTTCCATCCGTTGGTTCACTTCCCAGATGATTGCAACGGCCAGAGCTGAGCTGATCCGAAGCCAGGAGCCAGGAATTACTTCTAGGTCTCCCACGTGGGTGCAGGGACCCAAGGACTTGGGCCATCTTCTACTGCTTTCCCAGGCCACAGCAGAGAGCTGGATTGGAAGTGGAACAGCCAGGACTCGAACCTGCAACCATATGGGATGCTGGCACTCCAGGCTGGGGCTTTAAACCGCTGTGCCCTCAAAACTATAATCCTTAAAACCATTACAGATGTAGTAAGAAATGAATTTAAATATAAAATTTAGTTTGGGAAAGAATGTTCTAACCAGTCACAGTCCCACATGGGAAGATGAACACCAGATCAATGCAGGATTGTGCTCACTTAACAAGCCAGAGGAAGACTTTCCATTTCCTGAGTAGAGTGGGAAGGGGTCATTTTGTCCAGGTGTAATTCAGAATGACATATTCAGCTGCAACTTAAAAAGCCGGCTTCCCTATTCATATGTTTCATCAGTAAGGAAGCATGCGGCTTGGTGATGGTAAGGCCTAAAAGCGCATGACAGGATTAGAACTGCACACTGCTGTCATCTCCTGTGCCCCCAAGTTGTAATAATTCAACTCGAAGGATTCTGCAAGAGGAAAATGAAGTTTCACTGCAGCTGTAACTACACAGTCTCAGCAGAAAACCATTTCCACTTAAAAGGGCATATCCAATTTCTCAAACTACAAGCATTTAATTAAAACCAGTTCTAAGAACAACCTAGGCACCTACTATTATCCTATTGTCAGAATATAAATAATTTTTCCTGAATTAGTTTCTTGAGAAAACTTTCACTAAGAACTAACCCCTTCAAAATAGGTAATATTATCTGCCCTGTAATGAAGGCAGATAATTCTGAAATTAACATTTTTTTCATGAGTAAAATTTGAAAGATTTCTCTCTTAACCATAATTTCTTCTGCTGAAAACTGTAGAAAATTATCAGTTGCAAATCAGTACTAGTACCCTTTGTGACTGCCTATCCTGAATATAGTCCACGTCAGAGTATCAAATTCTATTTACTAAAAGAACCTTATAAGGCAGACAGTTTCCGTGTCAGCTACAAAAGACTCAAATGATCTCATGGACTGCCCTTGTGTCTCTATTGTGTTCCAAAAGTTTCAGAAATTGTGAGATAGTCCCCTTATCTAAGGTGATATTGAAGTTCCAGAAAGCAAGACTCTCCAGAATAACTGAAGGAGGCTGACTGTATGATAACAACTAAAATAACACTGGTTTTCTAGTAATATATGAACTATTTTGCAAGAAGAGGCAGTTTTCAAACCCAAATAATAAAACAAAGGTGGTTACCTACCCCGAAGCCCAGCAAAATGTCAGGTGTAACAGCTGTGTCGTAGAAAGTAATGTAAAAAGTAATTGGGATTGGGCTCCAGTTCACACTGGGACCTTGCCTTTGGACAACTCATTTAATTCCTTCTAATCTCAGTTTCCCTAACTGTAAGTGATGACAACAGTACCTGGTAAAGGTATTCCAGGACTGGTGTGAGGATCAAACATATGTGAACGTATGATGTAAACTATAAAGCAGCAGTAACTGAATGTGAGTTACTAATTCTACATAATATTGGGTTTACCTCTCCTGCCTGGGCCCCTACCTGCAAAATCCAGACTGAGGTCTGGATGCCTATCCAGTCACTTCACGGCTGCGTGAACTTCAACGAATCATTTTTTTTCCTGGATTAGTTTTCGGAGAGGGTCATTATGAAAATCAAATGATATCGAATATAGAAATGCTGCGCAAGGCACATATTAAGAACAAACGACAGCTGTCAATATTCACAGGGAGGTGGCAGAGCTGTAAGGAGCAAATTAAAATATAGCTAGTTAAAAATGAAAGTATAGCAAATGAAAGTATAGCTGGTACACAGACCCTGTGCACATCCAAGGTATTGTCACTTGTGTGATAAACCGCAGATACAAGCAGGGAGCGTGAAACCAAATGGCGCCCCAGTGACCTCCGCTAGAGTAAGGGGAGAAAGAAATGGGGGCTCCGGCGCCTCGTTGGCTTGGTATAGCGGTAGAAATCAGAGTGGAGAAGTGGGGCAGAAAAAAGACGTTAGAAGATATCTCAAGCATCAAATTCTTTCCCCCCGTTTTCTTACGTCCTCCAGCCCGGCCTAGGCCGTTTCAATCAACTTCCCAGACCGCCCTATCCCTGGACACTTATTTACTGTACCTTCTGTACCGACGGCTTTTCCACTCCCCTCCCTTTCTAGCCGTCGCGAACTTCAGACCCTCTCGTCCGACACCTATTCCTTTAACTCTTGTTTTTATCAAGCTTCCCTACATCATTCCTCCGCCTAAGAGGGCAGCGCAACTGGACGCACCGCAGGGCATCCTAGGAAATGTGGTCTCTCGGACTCACTTGTTTTGGCCACAGAGTGGGGAAACCGACAAAGGAGAGCTAGTTAAAACTACAACTCCCGGGAGGCAACGCGACATCACCAGCTTCCTCTCTGCCCCCGTTCCTCAGCCTTCCTCTTCCTCTTCTCCACGGGCGCTGGGCCGCTAGGTCTCACGGTATTTGTAGTTTCTTCTGGACCCAAGCTCTTAGCGCTCGGTAGCCAAGAGAGAGGCCAAAAGACTCTAATTCCCAGAGGGCAGAGCGGAAGCTGCGCCTGCGCACTCTCAGTGAGGGCGTGTATGTCTGTGTCTCTGAGGGAGAGAGAGCGAGAGTGAGTGAGTGTGAGTGCGGGGTGGGGTGGTGGCCGTTACGTTCGGGGCAACGGCAGTGGAGAAGTAAGAAGAGACACAACGTCCGGCGCTTCCGCCTTCGCTTCGGAGGAGGAGGAGGAGGAGCTGGTAGGGAAAGGAAAGTGATTCGCCCTGGGCCTGGACTAGACGCGAGTCCGGCTGGTGGGGGTCTGGGCTATGAGCCTTTGAGGGTCGCTTGGGACGCGGAGCGAGACACGAGAGCCGAGAGCTATGTCTCAGCCGCCGCCGCCGCCTCCGCTGCCGCCGCCACCTCCACCCCCTGAAGCTCCGCAGACTCCGTCGTCTCTGGCGGCGGCGGCGGCGATAGCTCCGGGGGGGCTCTCGAAGCGGAGGGACCGGAGAATCCTTTCCGGGAGCTGCCCGGATCCAAAGTGCCAGGCGCGTCTGTTCTTCCCGGCCTCCGGTTCTGTCAGCATCGAGTGTACCGAGTGCGGACAGCGGCACGAGCAGCAACAGCTGCTGGGGGTGGAAGAGGTGACCGACCCGGACGTGGTGCTGCACAACCTGCTGCGGAACGCGCTGCTCGGGGTGACGGGGGCACCCAAGAAGAACACGGAACTGGTAAAGGTGATGGGCCTTTCCAACTACCACTGCAAATTGTTGTCGCCCATATTAGCTCGCTATGGCATGGACAAACAGACAGGCCGAGCCAAGCTTCTCCGGGACATGAACCAAGGGGAACTGTTCGATTGCGCTTTACTGGGTGACCGCGCCTTCCTCATAGAACCAGAACATGTGAACACGGTGGGCTATGGCAAGGACCGCTCTGGAAGCCTTCTGTATTTGCATGACACTCTTGAGGACATCAAGCGGGCCAATAAAAGTCAGGAATGCCTCATTCCAGTGCATGTGGACGGGGATGGACACTGCCTGGTGCATGCTGTGTCTCGTGCGCTGGTAGGCCGGGAGCTTTTCTGGCATGCCTTGAGAGAGAATCTGAAGCAGCACTTTCAGCAGCACTTGGCCCGATACCAAGCCCTGTTCCATGACTTCATCGATGCTGCTGAGTGGGAGGACATTATCAATGAGTGTGACCCTCTGTTTGTACCACCTGAGGGTGTTCCTTTGGGTCTGAGGAACATCCACATATTTGGCCTTGCGAATGTGTTACATCGTCCCATTATTCTGTTAGATTCCCTCAGTGGTATGAGAAGCTCTGGCGATTATTCAGCCACCTTTCTGCCTGGACTCATCCCAGCAGAGAAGTGCACTGGGAGAGATGGTCACTTGAACAAACCAATCTGTATTGCGTGGAGTAGTTCTGGTAGAAACCATTATATCCCCTTGGTGGGCATAAAAGGGGCTGCTTTGCCCAAACTGCCTATGAATTTACTACCTAAAGCATGGGGTGTGCCTCAGGACCTTATCAAAAAGTACATAAAACTTGAGGATGATGGTGGTTGTGTTATTGGAGGAGACAGAAGTTTGCAAGATAAGTACTTACTTAGGCTTGTTGCTGCTATGGAAGAAGTCTTTATGGACAAACATGGTATCCATCCTAGTTTGGTTGCTGATGTCCATCAGTATTTCTACAGGAGGACTGGGGTGATAGGAGTTCAGCCCGAAGAAGTTACAGCAGCTGCTAAAAAAGCAGTAATGGATAATCGCCTTCACAAATGTTTGCTCTGTGGTGCCCTTTCTGAACTTCATGTTCCTCCAGAGTGGTTGGCTCCAGGAGGGAAACTGTATAACCTGGCAAAAAGCACTCACGGACAGCTGAGGCCTGACAAAAATTACAGCTTTCCCTTGAACAATTTGGTCTGCTCATACGATACAGTGAAAGATGTTCTGGTACCAGACTATGGATTGAGTAATCTAACAGCTTGTAATTGGTGCCATGGCACATCTGTGCGGAGGGTCAGAGGAGATGGGTCTATTGTGTATTTGGATGGAGACAGAACTAATTCTAGGTCCACTGGTGGCAAATGTGGTTGTGGATTCAAACACTTTTGGGATGGGAAAGAGTATGACAATCTACCAGAAGCTTTTCCTATTACTTTGGAATGGGGTGGAAGAGTGGTCAGAGAAACAGTATATTGGTTCCAGTATGAAAGTGATTCATCTTTGAATAGTAATGTTTATGATGTTGCAATGAAACTTGTTACCAAGCACTTTCCAGGTGAATTTGGGAGTGAAATCCTAGTTCAGAAAGTTGTCCATACTATATTGCATCAGACTGCCAAAAAGAATCCTGATGATTATACCCCTGTAAATATAGATGGTGCTCATGCCCAAAGAGTTGGAGATGCACAAGGACAAGAATCAGAGTCTCAGCTCCCAACTAAAATTATACTTACTGGACAGAAAACAAAAACTTTACACAAAGAGGAGTTAAACATGAGTAAAACTGAAAGAACTATTCAACAGAATATTACGGAACAGGCTTCTGCAATGCAGAAACGGAAAACGGAGAAGTTAAAACAAGAACCAAAAGGGCATCCCAGGACTGTTTCTCCCAGTACCATTCGTGATGGCCCATCCTCTGCACCTGCCACCCCCACCAAGGCTCCTTATTCACCTACAACTTCTAAGGAGAAGAAGATCCGAATAACAACTAATGATGGGCGGCAGTCCATGGTTACACTTAAATCTTCAACAACCTTTTTTGAACTTCAGGAAAGTATAGCCAGAGAATTCAACATTCCTCCATATTTGCAGTGTATTCGATATGGTTTTCCTCCTAAAGAGTTAATGCCACCACAGGCAGGGATGGAAAAGGAACCAGTTCCTTTACAGCATGGTGACAGAATTACAATAGAGATTCTGAAGAGTAAAGCAGAAGGTGGCCAGTCTGCTGCAGCACACTCAGCCCACACTGTGAAACAAGAAGAGATTGCTGTTACTGGTAAACTGTCATCTAAGGAACTTCAGGAGCAAGCTGACAAAGAAATGTACTCCTTGTGTCTTCTAGCAACATTAATGGGTAAGGTCAATTTAACTAGAGATGATTTATCTTAACTTAATTGTGAAAATAATATACAAAGTTTTTTGTTTTGGGAAAGAAAAATGGTTGTTGTAAAAATTTGATTATATATTTTAGGAGAAAATTAGTTGTTTTCTTTGAATGTTAGCAGATGTGATTACTGAGTAAATATTAGGAAAACATAACTAGAAAGTGAAAGTAGTTCCTCACTGTCACCAAATTTTTAAAATATATCTTATTCTTAGAATTTCTTTAAAAAAAAAATGCAGGCTTGTAACGTATCTCTTAAATGCCTCTTCATTTTTTTTATCTAAGTTTTATTGAACCTTCCCACCTTGCCCCTTTTTCATTTATTTTTAAAATTTTGTTTTCCTGTATGTCATGTGACTTCAGAACTTCCTGTTTGATGAATTGCAGTTTCTGGCGTTTTTATGCTCAGTGCACTCCCACCTAATAGTCTCTCCTCCATTTCCAGCTCTCCCTTTCCCAATTAAAATCACGCTTTTATTTGTACACTAGAATTTGTGTTGAAGAAATTTCACTGCTCAGTGATCTTCCCGTTGACTTTAATAAATTATTATAGCTCATGAAAAACAGTAATATGGTTAAGAATTGTTTATTTTTTATAAGCATAAATTAAAGGAAAATATATTAGCAACCAAATATGTAATTTAAAGCTTTAGATGATTTGAAATACTGGTCAGTGGTGCATTTTTTACATTACCTGTATTTGTTTGGTCTTTGTTTTCAAATCACTGCTAATATGCTTTACTAAATCTTAAAGTATGAAGTAAAATTTAAATGTTAGATTTTAGAAAGGCTTTATTTTTGTTGAGATTAGAGTTTTCAGTGAGAAGGCATCTGTGTGTGTTTGTGTTTTCCAATAGTACTAAACAGCAGTGAATTGGGCTTTGACCTACCTAAGTGAAAATTATTTATTTCTGGCTTATTAAGTTCTGAGGCCTAAAACTTAATAGGAAGGATGAGAGCTCTGCACAAATTTATAACTTGATAATGATAATATTAAATATTAGGCAAATATACTAATTGTATTAGGAGATATGTTAGGAACTATCCTAGGCACTTTATATATTTATGTCTATTAGAATTTCTGATTTCTTAGATACTACATAGAATAGAGGAAAGATTATGTGTCTTTGGACTCAGGAAAACCTAGAATTTGAATCTGGGCTCCACACTTAAGGGTGATTTCAGAGAAGCTATTTAACTCTAAAGTAGCTTCAAGTGCTTCCTTCATACAAAATACTGCCTGTAGTTTGTGTATCAGGTCAAAGGAACAGTATTCCTAGAACTCTGAGAATTAAATAACATTCTCACAGAATGGATAAAATCAAATATATGCAGAATACGTTTTAAAAGACTAGGAATTTCCCAGGTGAAAAGCAGAAAAGAGATCTTTCTCAATGGAAGATGAACTTGAGGGTGTAGCTAATATCTTTTCTATTCTTTTATGCTCATTACCTGGTGTATTGCCCAGCAGGTAGTGGGCACTTTGAAATTTTTTGATTGGATTAAATAGATGATGTTAACATATCTAAAAAAAGACTGTCTCTGCAGAAATGGAATGACTGGTCAGCACTGAACACCGAGAAAGACTCTGAAAAGCAGAATTTGGCAGTGTTTATGCACTGATGTACAAAGGGAAAAAGATTCATCATCTGGGGTTCATGAAAATTCTGGCAGCTAGAAAGATAATTTCTGTTGAGGGGCAAGAATATTTGATCAGCCCTTATCATGGCCTGGATAAAAGATCTCAATCTCTTTTCCTGATTCTTTATTTATCAAACATCTATTCTGTCACTGATTTAGTTTGTTGATCATAAGGTAACTTAGTTTTTTGATTTATTTTAAAAATTATTTGAAATGCAGAAAAGAATGAGAGAGAAAGGAAGATACAGAGGGGGAGAGAGAAGGTGAGGGAGGGAGAAAGAGATCTTCCATCTGCTGGTTCATTCCTTAAATGCCTGTAAAAGCCAGGGCTAGGGCATACTAAAGCCAGGAGTTAGAACTCCATCTGGGTCTCCCACATGGGTAACAGAAAACCAAGTACTTCAACCATCATCTACTGCCTCCCAGGCACATTAGCAGGAAGCTTTGAATGGAAGCACCAAGTGGTACCAAAGCAGGTACTCTGATATAAGAGGTGGGCCTTCCAAGTGGCAGCTTAACCTATTGCACCACAACACAAAATCGTAAATTTTCATGTACAAATAAGAGTGCAGATAAAGATTATATTCACTTTTGAAGACTGCCCTCCATTGTAGAATAATAAATAAATTGACATGGGTAGGATTATTATTTGAAAGGCAGAATTAGAGAGAGAGAGAGAGAGAGAGATATCTTCCATCTGCTGCTTCACTCCCCAAATGACTGCAGTAGCCAGTCATTTTGAGCTAGGCCAAAGCCAGGATCCTGCAACTCCATCCTGGTTTCTCATGTGGGTGGGAAGGGCTTTCAAGCATTTGGGCCATCTTCAGCTGCATTCCAGGCACATTAGCAAGGAGCTGGATCAGAAGTGGAGCATCCAGGAAACAAACCGGTACCCATATGGGATGCTGGCATTGCAGGTGGCAGTTTAACCAGCTGTGCCACAATGCTGACCCCCTATAGGTACTTTTGGAGTTTGATTTAAGATTCTTGGACTTGACTATCTGACAGCTAGATGATGGGCTGCAGTAAGTTCACCAGGATAATATCTTTGTTCTGATCCATTCCATCTTTACATCTAGCATTTACATTTCTGTCCACAAACCCACAATTTCTTTAAATCTGCTATTTTCAGTGTCAGCACAGAATTTGAGTGTGACAGTTTTTTGCTATCATTGTAGTAGCGGCACTTGAGAGACTTTTCTGCTTTAGAGTACTAAGACAGTGCCTTCTATGGACATTAGTTTTCTCCTTCTAACTCTAAGTGTAATTTAATCATGTCAATGATATTCTCAATAAAAAGTGATGTATTTGAAAATATCAATTTGGAGATGGTTATATATACCGTGTATAAAGACTACTAGGGAACTATTGATATTTCTGTCAGAGAGGGCTGGAAAATGGCAGGACTCTGAAATTGCAAATTTCAAAGTACAAATACTTTGTGAATTAAAAAATGTGAGTTAAATTTCTGCTGAGTTCATTTAGAAAATAGCTTACCAAGGTTTATGCTATTCAAATAGCCAGCTCTTTCTCATTTAGATTCAGGCTTAAATACCACCGTTTAAGGGTTTGAGAGTCCTATGCTGACTGTTCTAAGTAGGTTCTGCCTATCATTGTACCTTGTTCACTTATCTCACAGCACCTATCACAAGTTTTAATGATTTTATTTTTTGTTTTAATTATGTGTTTGCCTCCTCTCCTTATTATAAAGCCCATAAAGGCAGAGACTGTGGCTTATTTTCTTCACTAATGAATACTCTATCACCTGTTTCAGGATCTGGTACCTGGTTGGCACCAAATAAGTTTTTGTTGAATGAAGGCAGATTATTTCAACAAAATGAATATATGTTATGAGCTGGAGACTGCTGGGAATACAGAGATGAATGAGAGACAGCCCTTGCCCTTCATAAACTTATTGTAGGATCTCCACTGAGGGAATTCTATACTTTTTCAGCTTTCATCAGTAGATCTCCAGCTTGCTTTTCTATGTACATAAGAATTATCAAACTTCAAAACAGGACCAGTATAGCATTTTAGAAAACTTCTCCTTTGATTGAGACTAATGTACACTGTATATGTGCATAGAGATTGTGTATCATCTTTCAATAGACTGTGATGGCCAAGGACATACATTTTTCTTTTCTTTTTTTAAGTAGAAAACTTATTTAATACAATAAATGCATCAATCTTTTGCTTAGTACAGACCCTTCAAGAAACTAATTATTTAAAAAAAAAGATTTATTTTATTTATTTGAAAGTCAAAATTACACGAAGAGAGACACAGCGGTCTTCCATCTGCTGGTTCACTCTCCAGTTGGCTGCAATGGACAGAGCTGCACCGATCCAAAGCCAAGAGCTGAGACCTTCTTCCGGGTCTCCCACATGGGTGCAGGGGCCCAAGGACTTGGGTCATCTTCTACTGCTTTCTTAGACCATAACAGAGAGCTGGAAGGGAAGTGGAGCAGCTGGGTCTTGAACCAGGACCCATATGGGATGCCAGCACTGCAGGTGGCGGCTTTAACCTGCTGTGCCACAGCGCTGGCCCTAGAAACTAGTTATTTTGAATCTTATGATAATATAAAATGGAATAACAGTTCTCTACCATAATATGTAATAAATTTTATTCTGTTTTATAAAGACCACTAGAGATTTTTGAACTTTTGTGCAGAGTGTCATCTTTATTATTTATGTAATATTTAATATTTTAATATTTTATAGTATTACATGAATTATATAGTTGTAAAATAACTGGTGTTAAGAAATGTTAATAAAATTTCTCATTGACTAGTTATTTATTAGTCTTTCAAGGTAGATATGACAGGTGGGATGTTATTTACCACACATATTATGCTAATTTTTTCCCTAGTATTCCATTAGGTTTCTAGATATATTTTTAAGAGGTAAAGATAAATTTAGGTGATAATCAGAATTTGTTGGTTTGGAGTTAGGTTGTTTGTATTATTTACTTTACTTTATTACAAAGGTGACCAGCCTTTCAAGGAATTGACACATGTGCTTGATTTTGATATACCTTCTCTCTTTCTACATTAACTTTTTAAAAAAATACGGCTTTTTTGTTTTTAAAAGATTTATTTATTTGTTTATTTGAAAGGCAGAGTTACAGAGAGAAAGAATGGGAGAGAGATCTTCCATCCCAAATTGATTCACTCCCCAAATGGCTGTAATGACCAGTGCTGGATCAGGCTGAAGCCAAGAGCCAGGAGCTTCTTCAGTGTCTCCCACGTGGGTGGCGGGGTCCCAAGGACTTGGGCCATCTTCTGTTGCTTTTCCAGGTATATTACCAGGGAACTGGATCAAAAGTGGAACAG